TAAACCATCTGTTCTGGCTCTAGGTCCAGCCTCCTTTGAACCATGAGTTCCTACCAGCAGAAGCAGCCCTGCACCACACCTCCCCAGCTTCAGCAGCAGCAGGTGAAACAGCCCTGCCAGCCTCCACCCCAGGAACAATGTGTTCCCCAAACCAAGGAGCCCTGCCACCCTAAGGCTCCTGAGCCATGCCACCCCAAGGTTCCTGAGCCCTGCCACCCCAAGGTTCCTGAGCCCTGCCACCCCAAGGTTCCTGAGCCCTGCCACCCCAAGGTTCCTGAGCCATGCCAAACCAAGGATCCTGAGCCCTGCCACCCCAAGGTTCCTGAGCCCTGCCACACCAAGGTTCCTGAGCCATGCCAAACCAAGGTTCCTGAGCCCTGCCACCCCAAGGCTCCTGAGCCATGCCAAACCAAGGATCCTGAGCCATGCCACCCCAAGGTTCCTGAGCCATGCCACACCAAGGTTCCTGAGCCCTGCCACACCAAGGTTCCTGAGCCATGCCAAACCAAGGTTCCTGAGCCATGCCACCCCAAGATTCCTGAGCCATGCCAAACCAAGGATCCTGAGCCATGCCACCCCAAGGTTCCTGAGCCCTGCCACACCAAGGTTCCTGAGCCATGCCAAACCAAGGTTCCCGAGCCCTGCCACCCCAAGGTTCCTGAGCCATGCCAAACCAAGGATCCTGAGCCATGCCACCCCAAGGTTCCTGAGCCATGCCAAACCAAGGTTCCTGAGCCATGTCCCTCAACGGTCATCCCAGCACCAATTCAGCAGACCAAGCAGAAGTAATGTGGTCCTTGATGCTGAATCCCCTCTCCCATTCTGCTTGAGTGCCATTTTCCTTGTAATTAGCATGCTGTTACCCTGAGTTACAATCCTCCCTCAGTTGCCCCCTAAAAATATGTGCTATGAAGCCTTCCTTCCCAAACACTCCGGGCCTCTGAGCTTCTGAATGAGGCTGAGGGTCTTGATACCTTAGAACCCTAGTTTCAGCTCAGGATTCATCTGAAGAGGGACTTAAGGTGCAAATATGTGGATCAGCTCTGTTCCGCCCCCATTAAATGCACTTTCCATTTCACTCCTGACTGTGTGTGTCGTGATCTGACTCATTGTCTTTCTTCCTTTCCCTTGTGAAATAGGACCTGTTCCCAGACAGGTTGGTGAGGAAGGGCATCTTTCTGAGTCTTTGGGCCCTGGTAGTAGGTGGGTGGTGAGTCCCCCCTCCCCCTTACCCCACCGCTGACTTTTCTTGGGCTGGCATTGGGAGGTTGTGTAATGCCACCCACAGGCTGTTCCTTGGGCATCCAGGGCTGGAGCAGAGCTCTCCTCCTGCGACTTAGTGAGTCATGCTGGAGTCTAGTTAGTGCCTGTCCGCGCTGACTCTGACTCTCTAACCCTGAGTGCCCTGCCCCTACACCTGGCTTTCAGATTGCTCACTCATCTAGCCAACTCCTGTTTATTTCAAAGGATATTGTTCCTACATATGTGAATCTGCTCCTCCTTGCTCATTTCTTTCTGATACCTGTGACTCTGTTTCTCAAACATCCACAAGGACTCGCACCCTCCACATTTATCTCAATCAATCCTCTCCCATTCGCTGAGTGCCACTCTGCCAGGAAGGGAATGAGGAACTTTAGGGCATTTCCAGTCGTCTAGAGGGATGTACTTCTCTCCCCACTCAACCCCTCACACAAACATACATACACACCCATGCAAGCTAGATTGGAGGTTTCCCAGAGTAACACACCAAAGCTGATCTACTGCATCCTCAGGATGCAAACTGTTTACTTCACACATAGTGTGGCAGGAACCACAGGCAGTGAGGACTGGAAAGCCCACCACTCCATCTTCCTAGAATATAAAAATGTTTACAGAGACATGAAGCATGATAGAATTGTCAGCCATCCATTCATATATATGTGTCCATATTCATATTTGTATCAAAAATATGTTTCTTTTTATATTCCTGGGATGGAAAACACAGCAAATTTTCCTGCAGAAGTATAGTGCAGTCACTATGGAGAACAGTGTGGAGTTTCCTCAAAAAACTAAAAATGGAGCTCCCATTTGACCCAGTGATCCCACTTCTAGGAATATATTCCAAAAAACTAGAAACACCAATTAGAAAGGATATATGCACCCCTATGTTCAAAGCAGCTCAATTCACCATAGCTAAGATTTGGAAACAGCCTAGGTGTCCATCAGTAGATGAGTGAATTAAAAAACTGTGGTACATCTACACAATGGAATACTACGCTGCAGTAAAAAAGGAGTTCTTACCATTTGCAACAGCATGGATGGAACTGGAGAGCATTATGCTAAGTGAAATAAGCCAGTCAGAGAAAGATAAATATCACATGATCTCACTCATTTATGGAATATAATGAACAACATAAACTGATGAACAAAAACAGATCCAGAGACAAAGAAATATCAATCAGACCGTCAAACCTCAGAGGGAAGGTAGAGGAGGGTGGGGGTAAGGGGGAGAGATCTACCAAAGGACTTGTATGCATGGATATAGGCCTAACCAATGGACACAGACAACAGGGGTGTGAGGGCATGAGTGGGGGTGGGGGGTGGGGGGTAATGTGGGGATAAGAACACATATGTAAAAAGTTAATCAATAAAAAAATTTTAAAAGAGATATATTTTTCCTTAGGTTGTAAAATGAAAGAATGAAAAAAACATGAAAATTTGGTATAACACAAACAATTGTGCTGGTTTTGATCACCATGTTTTTACCTGACCACATTCTTTAAAAACTATTTGAAAAACGTTCATCCTAAAAGTTTTATTAATCTGTCTTCTTTTTTAAAATATATATTTTATTGATTTTTTACAGAGAGGAAGGGAGAGGGATAGAGAGTTAGAAACATCAATCAGCTGCCACCTGCACACCCCCTACCAAGGTACATGCCCTTGACCGGAATTGAACCTGGGACCCTTCAGTCCGCAGGCTGACGCTCTACCCACTGAGGCAAACCAGTTAGGGCTAACCTGTCTTCTTGTTTTATCAGCAGGTAAGGTCTACTATCATATCAGAGTAAACAGTGCCACCTAGCATCAAAATAAAGTAGTCAAACAAACAAACAAAAAAGTGTTCTAATCATATAATTTATTAGTCAGCATAGGTTAGCTGCTATAACAAACACCCCCTAAATTGTTGTGGCTCGGTCCAGTAGAAGTAATTTCTTACTTGTGTCCAGGTCTAGCGTGGTTTGGGAAGGTTTTTGCTCCATGCAGTCATAAAGGAATCCAGGCTCCTTTCCTCAAATGATCTCACCATGACTGAGTGCCTTATCTTCCTCTGAATTCATTCAATCCTTTTTATTTCTATAAGATCAGTAATGATGTCTCCTCTCTGCTAATTTCAGTAACTTGAGTCTTTTCTCTTTTTGGTCAGTCTAGCTATAGAATTGTCAGTTTTATTGATCTTTTCAGAGAACCAACTTTTAGTTTATTAATTCCTTATTTTTCTACTCTTTATTATTTCTACTCTAGTCTTTATTATTTCCATCTTTATCTTTACTTGGGGTATAGTTTGACTTAAAGTTCTATAAGATTATTGATTTGAGATTTTTCTTCTTTTGTATTATAGGTGTCTCCAGACTTAAATTTTTCTACGTGCACTGATTTTACTTTGTGTCTTATGAGTTTAGTAGGCTCTGTTTTTATTTTTTTTTCTCCCAAAGCATTTTCTGATTTTCCTTATTATTTCTTCATGACCCATTGGCTATTGAGGAGGGTGTTGTCAAGTCATAGAACTCAGAAGCAGAGAGGAGAATAAATGCTACTGGGCTGAGGGGTGGCAAATATATGGAGATATTGGTCATAGGGTAGAAACGTTCAGTTAAAAGATGGATAAGCTCTGGGGGTATAACGTATAGTATGCAGTATGGTGATTATTCCTAATAATACTGTGTTGTGTACTTGAAATATGCTAAGATGATCAATAGTATGTTCTTAACACATACGCACAGATGGTAACCATGTGAGGCTATAGATATGTTAAAGTGATTATGATGATCATGTCGCTAAGTAAACATGATTATCTTATTTACTTTAAAGTATACAATTTTATTTGTCAATTATACATTGGTCAAGCTGGGGGTTGGGGGAAGATGGAAGAAAATAAGCATCATACAAAAGAGTAGCAAAGTATAAGAATTTCTGTATTCATTCTCCTCTTTGCCTTTATTAGGTTTGCCTTTATTCTCTCTGAGAGAGAATCCTTTATCCATTGTTCTCTGAGGGTCTTGTATATACCTCGTGAAATTATCCTCTTATGTGAGCTGCATTGCCCACACATGAAGTGGGTAGTGTGGAAAGTAAGAAAGGACGGCCAGAAAGTTGTTTGTATTCTTAAAATAGCAAAGTCATTTTAATCTAGGCTCACAGTTTACTTCATCAATACCCTCAAGAACTGCCCTGGCTGGGCCCTGGCTGGGTGGCTTGGTTATTTGGAGCATCATCCTGTAGACCAAAAGGGGAGCAGATTCCACTCCTGGTCAGAGCACATACCTAGGTTGAGGGTTCGATTGCCAGTTGGGGCATGTTCAGAAGGCAATCAACCAATGTTTCTCACATTGATGTTTCTCTCTCTCTCGCTCTCCCCTGTTTTCTCTCTCTCTCTCTAAAATTATAAAAACATGTCCTTGGACAAGGATTAAAAAATATATTTAAAGTCAAAAAGCTACCCTATCTGGGTAGTTCAGTTGGTTGGAACATGGTAGCAGGTTTCATCTCCAGTCAGGGCTCATACAGGAAGCAACCAGTGATTGCATGGATAGGTGGAACAGTGGAGCAATCTCTCTCTCTCTCTCTCTCTCTCTCTCTCTCTCTCTCTCTCTCTCTCTCTCTCTCTCTTTCTCTCTCTCCTTCTCAGGGCATCTCTCAAAGTAGGTATCAAAATGACATACTTCGATCTCTTTTCTGTGCTATTATAGTAAACGGAAAGTGAATTTAAAGTTTAAAAGAAGAAAGAAAATATAATTCCATCACAAACAAAATAGTGCTTTATTCAGGAAATGGAAGAATAGGTACAGTTGTTCAGGTGGTAGGAGCCCTCTGCCCAGATCACAGACACAGAAGCCATCAAGGGAACCCTTTGCTGCCCCCCACCGCCCCACTGCCCCTCCGGGAAGACAGCTGCTGCTCTTCCTTCTGAAGCTGGGGAACGGAACGCTGGTGCAGCGGAGAACTGCCCTTTCTCAGCTTCCTTTCCTTCCAGAATAGACTCAGGAAGGAAATCATTCGCTGTCAGGAATCATCACAAGCATATCAGGCTGAAGGGTGGAGGAGCTTCTTCTGCATCCATGATGGGCTCTGAAGAGAAGATGGAGGAGGGGCTGGGGAACGAGGTGAGCCAGTTGTTCTTATTCTTCCTTGTCCCTGATGAATGCTGAAGCTGTTACTTGCTCTTGGGTGGGCACTTCTGCTGGCATGGTGGAGGAGGTTGCACAGGTGGGCATTGTTGCTGGCACAGCTGAGGTGGGCATGGCTCTGGGCACTTTGGTGGTGGGCATGGCTCAGGGCACTTTGGGGGTGGGCATGGCTCAGGGCACTTTGGAGGTGGGCATGGCTCAGGGCACTTTGGAGGTGGGCATGGCTCAGGGCACTTTGGGGGTGGGCATGGCTCAGGGCACTTTGGGGGTGGGCATGGCTCAGGGCACTTTGGGGGTGGGCATGGCTCAGGGCACTTTGGAGGTGGGCATGGCTCTGGGCACTTAGGTGGGCACACGGGAGGTGGCTGGCAGGGCTGCTTGCACTGCTGCTGCTGGTAAGACATCTTTCTGGAGTCTTAAAACCTGAATGAAAGTACATGACAGTGATCATAAGAAGGCATTCCTAGAGAGAGAGAACCCAGCACTTAGATAACACCATGAGATTTATCTCTCCAATCTCCAAGAATGTGCTTTTATCTCTTAAGTTCACTTGAAGACTCTCTGGCTTTTCCCTTCATCTTTATAAAATTGTTTCATCAGCCCTGAGAAAGACTTGTCTTTCCGCTTACCATATTTTCCAAAGAAAATATTGCTGAAAGAATAAAGTGATATGTTTTGTATGCAAATAACATCATCATGAAAGCCCATCACAAGTTCTAATATCATGGGCAACTTCACAAGCAATTTCTATCATCATTATCTCTTGTGAGGTCCCAATACGCTGATGCAGGCACATAACAAAGGGCTGTTCGGGAACAAAGCAAAGAGCCTTTGAATTCACACCAGAATGGAAGGGACACCAAAATATACATATTAAAAAACAACAACAACAACAGCAAATATTATTGTCTTTGCTCTCCTTTCCATCAAAGCTTTCCTATTAATTTGTTTTTCGTAGAGGAAATCAAACTGCCTAAAAAGAAGTGAAAACAGTCTATCAATGCACCCCAATTTTAAGGTTTCATCAAATAAGTAGCATCAAACCCATGATCATGATTTCAGACATGCCAAACTTTCTGTCTTTAGGTAAATTCAACAGTTGAAAGCACCAGAAAAACAGTTGAACTCTAGAAATAGACTCACCACGTTCTCAGCGTAGATCAGAACTTGCGGCTGGGAGGATGGCAGTGGCACGGCAGGCAGCCTCTTTATAGGGCCTGTGCTCGCTCCACCCAGGGGGAAGTGGAGCCCTAAACTGACCTGGTCCATGAATTTCCCACCCAAAATGCAAATCCATCCATGCAGGCTTGACAGGGACGCTGACAACAGAACGCATCATCTCCAGGCTCTTCTCACTGGGCTCCGTGCTCATGACTCACAGAGGCCCTGGCTTGGCTCTCAGCCAGTGACTTAGGGCTGTGGGAGAACTTGGGGGATTCTCTAACTGGTGCTCAAAGGCTCTCTTTCTTGATTGGGGGAGATGACCTTTTCCCATATTTCACCTGCCTTGAGTCATAAAACCTTCTGCCCTGTTCCACTTCAGCTGGTTGTCATTTTGTTGTACCTGCTGGGTTGAAAAAAGCCTTTCTCTTTACCCAAAATGTCCTTAAATGCATTTGTCTTTGATCCTATGGCCTGCTGATCTAAGTCCTCTTTTCTTCTTCTAAAACGGGCTGAGGTAAGGCTGCAGATCATCTCGGTAGATTCCCCGTAATGACACTAGGAACATTCAGTAAAATGTGACCTCCATGGTCCTATTGGCACTGTTTTGGTTCTGCAAGTAGAGGACACAGAGCTAATTCCTTTGTTCTTGATAAGTCTGTACCACCTTGGCCACATGGAATCTCCCGGGACCACACTTTATTGCAGTTCAAATACTCTGGCAGATTTCAGAGTGGGAATCAGTCTCTCAGCACTTTTCCTCCTAGCTTCCCTCACGGTTGTACATTTGAGCTCTTTTATTTTTTTTTAAAGGAACTCTTAATCACCATTTAATAAAATGCAGAGAAGCGAACAAAAATCACAAACATTCATTAAAGTCTATTTGCTGAACCACACCCATGTGGTTCCCTCAAATGTTGCCTACGGTAGAGAACAAGATGTAGTCCTTCCTTGTTCAAAGGTTAATGGGCAACACAGATCGGCATACCAGCTATCAGGGTGCACTGTTCTGGTGCCCACCCAGTGGGGGGTAGTTGAATCTCGTGAGAAATGTGCCCTCAGCTTTTCCCCGTCCATCAGGAAGTGCATGAGGTACCAGCCAAGGTCTTTTCAGGGTCACACACTCCCTGTCCTGAGGTCTTCTGTGCCTCAAATGAGAGGTGACCACACAAAGAGGCACTAATGTTATTTATAAAAAGCTTTTTGAAAATGTTTCATCTGCCAACCTCAATTCCTAACAGCATCTCCAAAAGCAGGAATACTTCTTGTGTTATGGGAGATGGCCTCAGATGGGAACAGAGTAACTCAAACATTGGCTGTATGTCTACTAGTATGTTAATTCTGCATTAAATACATAATTTGAATATTTCATCTGCCATTTCATGGACATAATTTCCTATGATCAATAAAATCAGAAATTCAACAAGTTGGTATATAAAGTGATTTTAAATGTAAAAATATTAAGAATGTTATATGATACATGTGATGTATAATATACTGGGCCTTATGGGAGTAATTAGAGTTTGGGAAACAATGTCCTAGTATGTTCTCCAATCTTGGATACAGGCTTGATTTCTGCTTTTTCAGAGTAAGCTCTCAAAAGTTCTCCCAGTTTCTCTATTGGATCTTGGACCTGAACTATCCTCTTTTCCTTGCTGCCCCATCAGGTACTGAAACATTTAGTTTTGAACTATGGCTGATGAGAAGGCCCAATCTAAGATAGGAATCAAGTTACAGCACTGACCTGATGTTACTGTGTAATGGGGGAACACACTTGTTATGGGATCAGCATCTCCCCAACCCATCTGACCCAACACAGCCCTAGCCTGCTGGTACTGCAAGAAATTCTTGCAATTTTCTTCTCAGAAAATAAAGCCTTTTTATTTCATAAATAAATTATCAGTTTTTAAATTGCAAGAAGCAAATATAAATAAAAATACCATTTAACACTCACTCCATCACATGTAATGATTGAGAGGACATTAAGGAAGGGAGTTAGGTCTGAACACTAAAAGTCTGAAATCGAGGTGAAACTATGAACATAAGCTGATCATATGCATCTGCTTTCTCTTACTCTACAAACAGGCTTTAGGTCTTTAAAGACAGTCATTTTTAAAATATGTTTTCTGCTTGTCTGTCCTCCTTAAGGCCTCCAGACCCTCAACCTGCCGCATTATCTTCTCTTATCTGTCCATTTTGTCTCAATTAGTCACTGAAGACCTGATGGCCGTGCAATTTGTGATTACTCCTTCCGTATCTTTACGAAATCTACCTGCAGTCAGTAGGGCAGACTCACTCTTGTGTATTAACATTATAAAGCAATGTTGCTGCAGCTTCCGTGTCTTGGTCAATAATCAGGAAGCTTTCCAAGAACTTGGTTTCATCATTGCAAAAGAAGGAAGAAGAGAAAGAAGAAGGAGAGAAAGAGGAAGATGAGGCATAGAAAGTCAAGGATCACTGAATCAACTCAGCAGCACACCCCCTCAGTTAATAGGCCAGGTTCCCAGAACTGCTCCTGTTCTTGTCAGTCAGGAAGGGCTTTGGGCCAAGATTACCATTAACCATTACCATACACGCACAGAGCTATCATTTCAGCACCTTGAGGCCAGGTGTCTACATTGTCATCACCGAATGGTTCCTAGATGGAACCACACTTACGTGGTTCCCTCAGATGTTTATTGTAATATTTGCTTTATTGTGGTCTGGAACCAAACCCACAATATATCTGAGGTTTGTCTATATTCCCTAACTAGTATCAGAATATTTAAGGGAGTGATTTCAAGAGCTAATAAAAAATATGAATTTACCAGTAGAGTATGTACTAGTGAGATTGAGGATGTCAGGCAAGAAATTGAATGAATCAGACACTTCTCCTCATAAGAGTCTTCCTGAGATAGGAAATGTACATGGGCTATTAGGTTCTGCCACAAAAAATCATAAAAGAAAACAAAGAAACCTGGGTAAAAATTGTGAAAAATTCTAAGGAGAAAAATCTCCTTGGACTTCCTAGGGCAGTGATGGCAAACCTTTTGAGCTCGGCATGTCAGCATTTTGAAAAATCCTAACTTAACTCTGGTGCCATCTCACATATAGAAATTTTTTGATATTTGCAACCATAGTAAAACAAAGACTTATATTTTTGATATTTATTTTATCTATTTAAATGCCATTTAACAAAGAAAAATCAATCAAAAAAATGAGTTTGCGTGTCACCTCTGACACGCGTGTCATAGGTTCGCCATCACTGTCCTAGGGGGAAGTAGATGACTGTTGCCTGGGCAGAGAGGGCTGACAGACTTCTAAGAGGATAAGTTAGAGAAAAATTTAATGACATATAAAAATTCCTCAAAATAGCTAGCTTATCAAAACTGACTCAAGGCCTTGCAGAGCTAAATTCTACCATAAGATCTAATAATAACACCCCTGGAAATTTACCCATCTGGTTTCAAAATACGTCCACACAAAAACCTGCATGCAAATCTGTATAGCAGTTTTGTTCACAAGATGTCCTTCAGTGGATGATTGGATAAGCTGTAGACTTAATCATGGACAAGCAATAAGGACCAACCCATCCCTCTTTCAGTGCCCAGTTGAAATGTACATCCCCCGCCTTTCATTTCTACTCCTCAGACCTAAGATGGCCCTATTTGAACTTACCTGATCTAGTGAGATCATCGAAAATCTTTCCTAGAATGTAATTTTCCAAAGAGAGAAGAATGAATCAAAGAAAGAACGCCTATCTACCCATGCTCTCCAGGTAAGGTCAAGGCAAGACAGAAACACTGAAACATCTATGCTTCTAACTCAGGGGGGCAGATACCTAACACCTGACAGGAAACAGGCAGTTTTATAAGTACCGCGCGCTAACCGATTGCGCCGCTGGAGCTCCGAAACAGGCAGTTTTGTGTGAAATCGGCAATAGTCATGACTGCCAGGAATACAGCTGCCACCCTCAAAAGCTTAAGAACAAGGTATCTAAAAATTGTGTCATCACCACTGAGTCCATGGTAGTTGGGACACAGACTCGAGCACGCCAAGGGACTTCCCCTAACACAAAATGACTCCTTGTGTCCTCATAACACACCCAAAACACGATTACTTAAAGGAAGACTTGACTTCCGTAACCCAGGATATGTGAATCGCCTGCCTAAATCTGATGTCACGGTAACAGGGACATCGGTTTCTGAGGACACACCTCCTAAAAGGTAGCTGCTGTCCATGACAATGAAGACACTGTTTCTTTAGGTTTGGTGCCCCAGACCCCTCAAAGCAAAAAGCCTGATGCATTCTTGGTCCCTTGGGAATCTATGGGTTCTCCTTAAACAATGAGTCAGCCACAGGAACAGCTGCTATCGAGTGACGAGCCCTCAGATGGCTGCTTCACCCACCCAGTCAGTCTTGACCCCTGAGACCTACTCTTCATCAGCACCTCCTCCTTGGTTAACAGGGAGCCTTTGTGACCAGATGATGCGGGAGGGAGATCCCATGTTGATTCAGTAAATGGGTGAGAGCCAAAAATGAACATCTCCATCCCAACAGTCCTACCCTAGGTCGGGCCTAAAATACAGAGATGAGGGGAAACTCTCCTAGCAGAGAGGAAGAAACAAAGAGCAAGGAAATCTAGACATAGATCATTGTAAATAAATGCAATAATCTATATAATAAAGAGGTAATATGCAAATTAACCCTCATGCCGGCACACCATCACAAGATGGCTGCGCCCACAGTGGAGGCGGGGTTCTCGTAAGGAGCCATCAGCAGGTACCTGATGCTGTGCCCCCCGACCCGGCGGGGCTTGACGGGGGACCTCAAAGCATGCCTCCCACCCTGGCCCAGGCCAGGAGACCTCAGGCCATGCCCCCTACCACAGCACCAGGCTGGGGGACCTGAGGCTGTGTCCCCCACCCAGCAGGGCTTGACGGGGGACTGAAGCTGTGCCCCCCCACCTGGCGCCGGGCCAGGGGACCTGAGGCTGTGCCCCCTGCCTGGTGGGGCTGAACGGGGGTGGGGCTGGCCGGGTCTGGATTTCACCCAATGGGGGTGGGGCCGGCCAGGTCTGGGTCTCGCACAATTTCTAGGCGCACGTGGGTGGGCAGGGACCTGACTCTGGGTCCCGCGGCGTGCGCCAGATTCTGACGGGAGGAAGATTTTCATATACATTTTACTAATTTTCTTTCATCTCTGACATTTGTATTGCAGAGAAAGGACAAATAGCAATATTAAAATATTTCCTCTAATTAATTCCCTTTTAATGTGTACAAATTTCATGCACTGGACCACTAGTGTTAATAATAATGATATGTGAGATTTAAAATTTATGTATATGACAATAGTAACACAAGAGCCTGGGATTAAGTTAGTGAAATTAAGGCACTGTATGGTTCCTAGGGATTTCTGAGGAAGAATTTAAGTACTATTGTTTATCAGATTATAGGAAGTCAAATATGTTTATTGTGATATCTACGGTGTCCTCTAAAAAAAAACACACATCACTTCTCGGCCTTTTGGCTAAGATCAGTTGTAGCACCTGTCCTTCTCAGTTTAATGTCTGATACTTCCTCTATCTGAGGACCTTATAGTAAATGTAATTTTGGAATAGGGAGATGGAATATGAGCTTGCTCCGTCCACTCCACGCATTGGCCCAGTATTGCAGTACCACCAGGAATGGTGCAAAAACAAACAAACAACAACAACAACAAAAGAAACAGCAAATAAATATGTATCCCTAAAAAACTAATGGGGAGGGATGAAAAATAAAACATTTATTTATCAATCTAAAAGGGGCAACATATGGTGGGAATGACTGGGGGGCGGGGTCAACTGTGGAAAAAAAGGAGACATATGTAAAACTTTAGACAATAAAAAAATAAAACGGGGCAAGAGAAGAGACATAAAGAGATATTAAAGCAATGGGGGGAAGCTCCAGTTCCACTGAGGATGTAGAAAGCCAGAGAGCTGCACTCTCACCTTAAAAAGAGTAAAAGTCACATAAACGACAAAAGCATAACTTTTCTCAAGCCCTTAAAAGCAGCAGTTTCAAAATAATCAAAGGCTTCAAACAACCAAGAGGCAGAATGTGAGCACCGGCTCCCCTGTGTGAAACTTCAGGAGAAAGACATGTCAGGAGGCATATATCAAACAAGAAAAACTCGGCTAAGATGCCTAATGAATTTCCAACAACTGAGTATCAGCCAGCATGACAGTATGGGAGCCCAGAGGTCACAGAAACAGGGGACTCTGCACCCACGTGAAGGTCATTCTCCATGCTTCTCCACTTGGTGCTTGTGAGAACTGCTGGGAACAGGGAGGTAGACCCGAGGATGCCTCCCTCATTGGTGCTGACACAGGGGAAGGGAACAGCCATCACTGTAAGGAAGGCTCAAAGCACCACCAATAGCCTCTCCTCTTTGGGAAAAGCAAGTCTTACGCTTCTGGTGAGGGGCAGCAGATTCTATTGCCCCCCAGTGCACAGAGAAAGACCACTGTGGCTGGGGAAAGTGTGGAAGAAAAAAGCCTTCTGCTCCTAAGAAAGACTGAGGAAGAGGGCTTGGGTCCTAAATTCCTGTGCCAATATTATTAGAAGCCAATTCCAGCATGACAGCAGGCTGCATCTGGGAATGGCTGAAGGCCATCTCCCCAAACCTGAATAGAATACATTAAAGTGATTGCTTGGCTGCCAGACAGCTAAAGGGCATCTTAATCTACATGTTATTGCCACCTACTGGCCAAACACCTGAACAGCCATAGGCTAATTCCCCCATTCTGACAATGGACTCTGTATGAAACCCTGACCCTTTGAAGTGTATATCTCCACCTGGTCTCAGGACAAATTGTGTTAATAAAAAGCATGGGGTCCTGAGACGAGGAGAACTTAGAACTTAGATCTTAGTTTCCTTTAAGCTAAGCTCCTCTGACCCCCAAATGCCTTTCAAAATTATGCTTCGTCTCTGGACTCCTATTTCATCTACGCACAGCCTTATCCAGATGGCTGAACCCTTCTAGACGCTGGAACAAGAACCCCGGCATCAGAGGTCTCATATACTAGGAGAAGGCAGAAACTCCCTTCACGAAAGACCTACCAACAATACAAGAAAGAGTTTGGCTGCTACAGGAAGGAGGCACAAGACCCCTGAAGAGTTGCTACCTTGTTTCCTAGGTGCTGACAGTCCCACACTGTGTATGTTTTCACGTGGCTCCATTAATGGCCTTGAACAGGACAGCATCATCCCTCCATTTTCTAGGCCAAAAGGGTCACAGGCTGAACCTGAAACTAATAAAAAAAAAATGTATGTCCATTGTAATTGAAAAATTTAAAAATGATTTAAATTTTTTTAAATGTCACAGGCTGGGGCCTTCCCTAAACTCTACATTTGCATATGTACACACTGACCTTTTCTGTGATCCTCATGCCCACGAGTGACTTGTGATCTATTAGAAACCCAAATTCATCTTCTCTCATTTTCTTCAAATCCGATTCAGGGTCTGGGCCACATCCATTTAGAAGCTTTGCAACTCATGCTCCCAAAATATCATGGGCTACTTCCTCCTACAAAAGTTAATCTAATCGATCCCCTATCAGGCCATCTGCTTTGAAATGGCATTTACTATGATTTTGTTAGTACACTCAAGAAATGAAGCTCCAAAGCCATTAACTCTACCATTCAATTCCTGGATCCATATTCAAAGAAACAAACTTAAAACAATGTGGCAAATACAATCAAAGGTATAAAGGAATGATAAAAGTTAAAAGGTTCCAAGGTACAAATACGATTATGATAACTGATACACATCGTAGATCATTAAGAAATGGTAAAGTTTTTAGAAAAATAACGTTATAGAAGATGATATTCATACACTCTCAAAAAGCAACTCACCAAATGACTAATTGTAGAAAGAAAAAGCTATGTCTTACAATAAACAGATCTGGTAGGCCCCTCCATTGAGCCAGCCACATAACCTGTCCTCTGCAAATAAGACAACATCACCAGGAAGCAAGACGGTGGTCAAGACATTCAATGGATATAAGAAATCATCTGGAAGTATTTCAGTGTAGAATTATGACTCCACTAGTAGTACAGAACCTGGCTACAAAGTATAGAAATGTCCTGTTTCTGTAATCAAGGCGGTTACAATACAAAGCTGAAGAGAGGGGGTACTTTTCTGCTCATCCCTCAGGTTTTATGTCACATAACTTTCTCCAGGTAAATGCTCTTCCTTTGCATTCCCTTAAAACTATCCCCACACCTCATGAGATGGACCACAAAGATGATCATTGGTGCACACACCCCACACTGTCCTCAAATTTAAATTTGGGCTGCTCTCCTCCTCACTTGTCCCCCTGCCCTGCCTTCCTTTTCTTTTTCTTCCTTGTGGGGTACATCCTTGAAGGGTGTCTCTCTGGCACCGCCCCACTCCACGATTGGCTGCTGGTGGGAGGCCATTCCTTTACTCTCATTGGTTGCTGAGGGGGAGGCACATTCAAGAATCTAGGGTCATTGTTAGGGTTGTCAAGGGTCTGGGTGAAGGGTCCAGTGTTAAGGCGTATGGTCAGAGGTCAGGGGCCATAGGTCAAAGGTAATGGGTGAAAGGTCAAGTGTCACAGGTCCAAGGTCACAGGCCATAGGTCAAATGGTCACAGGACAAGGGTCAAAGTCAAAGGTCAGGACACATTTAGACAGTCAGGGGTCAAAGGGTGAAGGTCGAGGGTCAGTGGTCAAGGGTGATAGGTCAGGGTTAAAGCTCATGGGTAAGGGTCAGGTGTGAAGGGTCATTATCCAAAGATCTAGGCTCTAGGTTTTAGGGTTCAGGGTCTAGGGTTAGGTTTCAGGTTAGGGTTATTAGGGTTCTCAAGGGTCCGGATGAAGGAGCAAGCATCATGGGGCAAAGGTTAGTGGAAGGAGTTAAAGGTCAGGTCAGGGGTCAATGGTCATAGGTTGGCATTATATAGCAAGGTCAAGCATCAAGGGGCAGAAACAAAGGTCAAATGTCAGGGGTCAAGGGCCATAGGTCAAATTGTTAGGGTCAAGGCCCAGGTGAAGGGTCAAACATAAAGGGGCAGGGATAAAGGTCAAATATCAGGGGTCAGAGGTCAATGGTCATAGGGCAAATGTTATGGATCACGGGTCATGGCTCAGAGGTCAAGGGTCATAGGTCAGCATTAACCAGTTAAATGCCAGGCATTCACAACAAAAACCATCCCCACACACCATGATATTTTCAATTCAATGAAAAAAATCAATTTGCAATGAATATTATACAAATAAATATATTACAATTCTAGTGTTCTTGAATATTTTAAGCTGAAAATTCTCACCAAAAAATGATTTTAAAGTTGGTCAGGGCTGCCACTGAGGGAAAACATTTTTTTATAGACACAGCTGGCATGTGGGGAAGGTCCACCACTTGTGTCTACATACGCTTATGGCGTACAATGAGTTAAAGGTCATGAGTCAATGGATCAAATGTGAAGGGTCAGTACTCAAGGATCTATGGTCTAGGTTCCAGGGTGCACGGTGCACGGTATAGGGTTAGGTTTCAGTTTTGGGTTGTTAAGGTTGACAGGGTTGTTAAGGCTCTGGGTGAACAGTCAAGAGTCAAGGAGTAGGGACAAAGGTCAGACATCAAGGGTCAAATGTCAAGGGCCATAGGTAAAATTATTAGGGTTTTCAAGGGTCCGCATGAAGGGTCAAGTGTCAAGGGGTAGGGGAAATGTCCAGACAACTGGGGTCAAAGGTCAAGGCCCATGGGTCAAAGGTCAATGGTCAGAGGTCAAGGGTCAAATGTGAGGGGTCACTGTTCAAGTATGTAGGGTCTGGGTTCTAAGGTCCAGGGTCTTTAGGTTTTGGGTTAGGGTTTATAAGAGTGTTAGGGGTATTAGAATTGTCAAGGGACAGGATGAAGGGTAAAGTGTCCGGGGTTAGATTAAAGGTCAAAGGTCGGGAGTTAAAGATCATGAAGAAAGTGTCAGGTGTGAAGGGTCAGTGTTCAAAGAACTAGGGTCAAGGTTTTAGGGTCCAGGGTCTAGGGTTAGGTTTTGGGTTAGAGTTGTTTGGTTGTTAGGCTTCTCAAGGGTTAAGTTCAAGGGTCAAGCATCAAGGAGTAGGGTCACTGGTCAGAGGTAAGGGGTCAAACATCAGAGGTCAAGAATCAAACGTCAAGAATCAGGACACCAATAAAAGGTCACGGGTCTAAGGTCATGGAAAAGGGATCAAGGGTCAAAGATCCATGACCCTGAGGCACCTTGGGTGGGTGAAAATGGGGACCACACATCAGCTGCAGAGACCGTCCTGACTCCCAATCCAGCTCTGCTCCATCCCAGCCGAGGGAAGCGCCGAGGCCTGGTTCTGAGCTGTGGATGGGAATGATGTGCTGGGCTGGCTCCCTGTGGGCACGGGCTGGGTGGCAGGGTGACTCTTCCTGCAGTAACAGGAACTGGCCGGCAGAGGGCGACAGCCTCTGCCGCCTCCCAAGGCAGGAAGCTGGGAGGAAACCACACCTGGTTCCCCTTGAGCAGGGGCAAGGGGGAGGCTGAAGGATGGCTTTGGGGCCAGGTGGGCACCCAGCTCCCCTGGGAGGCCTGTTCTGCCCACCACCCTGCAGACGGGTCCCCTCTGGTGGCCGCACTGCGCAGGCTGAGCCCTCCAGGAGCTGGACTCAGCTCAGACTGGGTGCTCTCGGC